AAAATTTTATATAATATTATTTATATAAATTGTAGATCAAAAGTTTGAAACAATTAAGTAAAAAAGAAGAGAAAACAAAAAAAAAGCAAGAACTAAAGCAATAAGCCTAAGACTTAAATACTTATTTTGGTCACAACAGTTGACAAAAAAAAAAAAAAAGACCATATTCGACACCATCACTGTCGAATAAGATTGATTGTCGAATATATGGTTTTATTCGACAGCCAACAGGCTGTCGAATATGTTTGTTATATATTCGACAGCATTGTTGTCAAATATATAAGAAACGTCGTCGTTTCCCCCCTATATTTGACAGCAATGCTGTCAAATATACTCGACTTTAATCCCCCCTCTGCCCGTTTTTCCCCCATTTCTTCTTCTTCCCATGCGGCAGATCTGGTTCATTTTCTCCAGCCCTGTTCTTGCCGTTGTCGCCGGATTTTGGCTTCTTGCCATCGAGCCCCCTGCTATGTGAACTTTAAGCCGGTGAGTTGGGCCCTCTCTACGCAGATCTAGAGCTATTTTTTTTTCCTTTGATTTACATTTGGGCATTTGCAGATTTCTTTGTAGATCCGTGCATTTTGGTGCAAGATCCATCACCTCTAAGCCTCCACGCGCCTCCATCCTGCCTTTTGTAAGTTGCAGCACTCTCTGTTTTTTCTTTTTCTTTTTTTTTTGTTTCTCTCTTTATTTTTTCCTTGGATTTTAGTTTACAAAATTTTAATTTCGTTTTTGGTATGTCAAAATCCAGCTTTTACTGCCTTCATTGCCTCCACAGCGTTACGGTCTCGTTGACAAAGGTAATTGATATTTTTGTAATTTTGTTATTAAAATTTTATTGTTTTATTTGTAGATTAGTGTAGATTATTATTATTATTGTATAAATTATCCATAAATTTATCAGTAAATTACTATTATTTCTTTCAAGTTTTTGAGATTGAAATTCGTACGTTAATTACTTACTTGAATATTTTTTTTTAGTAAATTTTTATATACAAGGTTATGGATTTTAGATTATTAAATTTGAAATTAAGATTGAGATAGAGGTTTAAATATCTTGAAATAGAGTAATATTTATATTGAATTCTATAGTTACAAATTTGTTATTTATTTCAAATTAGCTCAATTTAAGAGATTGATATTGAGATTGAGATGTGCATTATTATTGAATTAAAATTGTATTTAGTTTGAATTTTTATATATCAAATTATTAAGATTAAAATCGATATGGTAGTTAAACTATAGTACTATTTATATTTAATAGATATTTATAAAGTTACTAAATTATTAATATTAAGATTAATATATGTATGATTGTTGAAATATAGTAGTATTTTTATATATTGAATTCATATACATAAAAAAAATTTAATTTAAAATTATTAAGATTAAGATTAACATGTGTGGTTATTGACATGTATGGTTATTAGTTGATATGATAATATACTTTGTCAAATTGAAATTCAAATTAGGTAATTAAATGATGGA